GACAGTGAACCCCACACCCCGGCACACACCCCACACCCCGACAGTGAACCCCACACCCCGGCACACATCGCACACCCCCACAACGAACCCCAAACCCCGGCACGCCCCCCTCCCTCGCAGCCCGCCTGCCCCTCGCCGGCCCCGCTCAGAGCCGCCCGGAGCCGAGCCGGAGGCAGAGCGGAGCACGAGTCAGACCCCGCTGGGATCACAAGGATGCCCTGCCCCGGCCTCCTCCCCAGTTCGCTCTGTGTCAGGGCCCGAGCGATGGCACATCTCCCGCTAGACCAGGTCGATCCAAGCCCGGTCCAACCTGACCCTGAAAGCTTCCAGGGGTGGAACACCCATTCCTCCAAGGCTGCAGAGCCTGCAGAGTTTCTGCCCACACTCACCTTACCAGGGCAGAAGGAAGGAGAGAGGAGCCATCCTCTGCAGGACACAAACCCTCAGGGACCCGGGAGCTGGCTCCTTTCCTGTGCTACCAGCTGTGCTCCAATGGCTCCTGGGGACTCGGTTTACCTAACAGGGTAACGAGGAATTATCCCAAACCCTCCACCGAGCGATTTCTCATGAACACCTCTCCCCAGCTGACAGCCCGTGGTGTTCTGCTGCCACCGAGCCGGGATGCAGCGGCCAGGGCACAGCACCCACCTGGCTCACAGGGGCAGCTCCTCCTCTACCCAGGCGTGCTGGAGAAGGGTGTTTCTGGCAAACAGGAATTTCCCAGGCTGCTGGAAACGCAGCACTGCTCTCCCGTGCGACAGACGCCCACCCGGCGCGGCGGTGGCCAGGGGATGGCAGCCGATGTTCACCGATGAGCCACCGGCTGCTGCCGTTCCGTCGGGATCCGCTCCAGAGCCCTGACTGCCAAACCTGCACAGCCGGCACCGTGGAATGCCGCCTTCCTGGAGATACACTGGGACCAAAGAGCAAGAATTCACAAGTAATTGCTATAATACAGTGGTCTTTTTAAGGAAAAAAAATAAAAGCCCACAGTTTCTTTCAAAAGCCACAAAAGTTTCTTGGGTCACAGCATGGCAGATTTCGTTTTGACATGCCTGAAATTCAAATAAAACCTGATTTAAACCCCCAGATTGTGGCTATGTCAAGGGCATTTTCAAGCACACAGACTAGCACTGAGGTGCTCAGGGTGAGCAGGTCCCACTCAGGTTTACACCAATAGCTGGAAGAACAAAATGCAGGGAGTGTTGTATGACAGGGAGCTCAGTCAGAGCTCACACGGGTGTGGGTGCAGAGCCCTGACCGAAGGTCCCTACGGGTACAAGCCACCAACCCTTCTCTGAGAAGGCTGCTCAGTGTGGGACAGCATGGGCCTTGTCCCAGGCAGGGAAGCAGGAGGGCACAGGGAGTGCTCCAGCTCAGCACCAGGGCCTGCAGCTGTTCCCACCTCGGCCAGAACAAGCACAGCTGGCAGCAGGAGCTGGATGTTCGTGTGTCACCGTGTCCAACAAACACCAGGATGAGCAGGTGCCAGAAGGAGCAGAGCTCTTGCCCCAGCACTGCCCACCAGCACAGCAGCCTGGGAGGCGTGTTGGATGCCCCTCCAGGCAGGACTTACTGCTCATTTTGCCACACGTCGTCGGCCGGGAACAGTGATGGGAAGTCGAGGAAGCAGTGGCTGGCAGGAACATGCCCATTCCCAGTCCCTGCAGAACCCTGTGAGCCCTGGGAAGTGTCCTCCAGCCCAGCACAGCCAGGAAAGGGGCTGGGGGCACATGCTGGCAGAGGAGCTTTGTTCAGTTTGAAGGCTCCAACATCTACAAGTTACCTGGAACAGGCTCAACCCTTCTGCCCTCACAGAAACAATTTTACACTTCACAGGAACACCAGGGCAGAGTACACTGAATTTATTAAAATAACCACGTCTTCCCCAAAGTATGTGGGGTGAAAAATCCGCGTACAAAATACAACAGCTAAACCATTATTTACATCCAGGCAGCTGCAATATCAAGCAATAACTTTAGCAATAGTTTTAAAAATAACTCTACAGTGTACACAGATCACGTATTTCACAAGACGAGGGTTGAGCACTGCACCACTCTACTTATTTCAGAAATATTACAATGTTCCAGGTAAAATATTAATGCTTCTTTTAAAAACAGACAACTCAGGAAGTGGTTTGCAGATTGACAAAATATGACACATTTCTCTTTAGGAACTGAGAACAGCAGCAGGTTTAGACACAAACGTCACAGCTACATTCAAAATACATCAAGTCCATTCATCCAAAAATACATTCAGTGTAAGCTACAACTTATTGCACATTTCTTATATTCTGCAGAAATATATTGTACCTCAGTCTTACTCCCTGTACATTCATAAACTGTTCTGCCTGTTAGAGCAGAACTTGGACATCTGTCCCTAAAAGCTTTCGGGGGATCGGGGTACCACAGCCTGTGGGGATGCTCCTGGAATCACAGACACACAGCTCAGGGCAGGGCAGGGGACTGGCTCCTGGTGCTGCTCGGGGAGGACTCCCCAGGGACACCTCAAGGACAGCCCCAGGACAGCCTCACAGACCCCCATGGAACCACAGCAGGGCGGGTTGGGCCATCACCTTCAGGAACACAAGAATGGGTTTGTTCCTCTGTGCCTGTGAACCCTCCGGCCCCCAGGACACCCCTGCTGGGCACAGCCCCCAGGACACCCCTGCTGGGCACAGCCCCCAGGACATCCCTGCTGGGCACAGCCCCCAGGACATCCCTGCTGGGGACAGCCCCCAGCCCACCAGTGGCACAGGGGCTCTGGGCAGACAGGGACTGAGAGAAGAACGTGGCCTGCTCAAAGTTCAGACCTGTTGTAGGGACTGGACATATTTCTAAATAAATTCATCTATAACTCCTGAATTTATTACCAAGAAAAGAAGTGACATAGCAACGACTAAAATACTGTAGGGTTCATTATAGGGTTACACGAGGGAACGACCTTGGTTAAGTGCAAATAATAAAAGTACCAAAGTGCAGAGGAGATTACAGCCTGAATTTCTCGAGCGGTGTCTGGGGGCAGCAGCTCAGGAAACACAAAACAATTCGGTGCTCGAGGAAACATTAATTAACTTTCCCTTTCAGTCCATAATCCCTGCATTAAGTTTTAGGTTGTTATTAGAAGTAAACTATAAAATATTAGTAACTCCTTCCAACTAGAAGCATCAATTAGGAGAGGCTGAATGTGGTGATGGAGTTTGAGCATCCTTGACCTTGAAAATTTTTATGAGTTTAAGAACTTGTGCTTTAAGTGAAGATTAGCAGGAACATTGTAACCTCTGAGGAAACCTAAGCCTCCCTAAAACGCACAGAAGTGTCTTGGCATAACCTCTGTGCTTAAATTAGAACTGGACAGATCCACATGGAGGGGAAAGGCCACTAAAACAATGGTTCTTTGGGTTTTTTTAAAGGACTGTGGAGTTTGCAAACATTTCAGAGCTCAATACAACATCATCAGCCCTTGGTTCGGTTATGTTTTAACTCTGGTTCACCAAAATACACATTCGCCTCTCAACAACCAAAGAAAAAAGAAAACCAGTGCAAAAATACTGAGTTAGGTGAAACGCCAGGACAAACAGACTATAATGTCTGATACCACGAGATATGTGCAGGGAAAGGGTTAAAGTATGCCTGGGGCTGGAGCTGTGACATGTGCAAGGGAGTTGAGCCTGAGAATCCTCCTCCCACACCTCCCAGCCAGGCCCAAAAGGGTCTTGTTCAAATTATAGGGCTGAACAACAACCTTCAGAGACTCCAGAACGGCAACTGAAAACTGAAACCCTTTTCCCACTTAAAAAAAAAAGTATCTTCGATTGTTCCTTTCTAAGATAAGGAATTTTTTTCAACTTATGTACTACAAGAACAAATGCTGGATCTTAGGTTTGCAAATGTTTTGATACACAAGTCAGCATCATGCTTTGGATCATGCTAAAATTACTCCTCAAACAGCCAGAAAGTCACATCTACTGAGCTCTACGGGATAGTTCATGCAGTTGAAGCACATAAGAATTAAATCACAGGATGGCTTGGTTTGGAAGGGACCTTAAAGCCCATCTTGTTCCCTTCCCTGCCATGGGCAGGGACACCTTCCACTGGACCAGGTTGCTCCAAGCCCCATCCAATCTGGCCCAAATCTCTGAGACACCTTCGATTATATCTCAGAAACCACACTGGAGAAAAATCTACCAGCAATTTAAGGGAAATATTCTCCACTGCTCAGCTCCAGACCACAGAAAGACCCGCATTGTTTAACACAAGCACCTGTGCAAACAGGTAAATTGCATCAGAGCCTATTTTAGGGGCAATTAACAGCCATAAAGGATCCACAGCTCCCGGAGATGTGTGTCAGGAAGAAATCCAGAGTGCTGATACTACAGACCACCCCACTCAGTAAAAGTTTAACCCATTTTTCCCTGCAACAGTTCCAATTAAAGAGATTTTACCCCAAAGATTGATCTGACAACCTGTGATCAGCCAACAACTGACTGCAATGGAGCTGCGTGGGCTACACAAGATTTTTTCAGAGCTCTGCTATTCTGGAAACATCTTTGGGCTTAATTTCCATGGACCAGCTGGATTTAAAGATTTAAAGAACCATATGATTATGAAATGTATAATTTTGGCTATTAAATATATTAGAACATTATATTAAAATACATGGGCCATGGAGTGGGGCAGAAGCATCAGTTCACAAAATGCCAGAACATCAGTGAATTCTGATACAACACCTCGCTTTGATGGCTGTGGTATTATGGAAACATGATCAGAGATTATAATACTCGTCACCAGCCTGGTGCTGTTACAGAATTCCATAAGAAACCTCTGAAAAGGCTGTGTTGGCTTTTGTTAAAGCTGCCCCCAACACATCAAAAGGCACTAAAAAAATGTTACCAGTGATTAGCAAGATATTGTTAATAATAAATATTTTCTCAGTTTAGGTAGAATTTCTCCCACTTTATCCCTTCGTAACTAATGGAAAAGTATTGCCTCTATTATTTCTTCTAAAAACTGTTAGAAAGAAAAGTTATCCCTTGGTCGATCTGTTCAACAAACAAATGAACAGAATAAAACAACTCAAACCCTAACCATAATATTGTATGTGAAACCAAGACATTAAATATAAATATTAATAGAGAACTGACTCAATGGTTTTGTTCACAAGGTACATGCTTAGTGGAATTTCCATCTTTTTTAATTGCTTTTACTGATAGCCCCTTTTCAGATTCTTGCATAAAAATAGGTAAAAAGCTGGGTTAAATTTGGTCTTTTACTTGGTTTGAGGACAGACATGAGGGTTTTTTTGCAAGCAGCTTTAACCAACACCAGACATTTCCAGGGCATTTGGGGTCTGACGAGGATGAAAAGTGCAACAGCAAAAGGTATTTTTACACTGTTTGTGATGCTTTAACCTCCTTCCTGTGACTCGCCTGGTGTCCAATTTACTCACAAAAGCAAAGCGAGTCATGGACTTGCTGTACCAAACCCGAACTCGAGTCCCAAGCTGCCTCTTCCCACGGCCGGACACGACGCTCGAGGTCAGTGCTCTGCTCCGGGCACTGCAATACTGAACCACCTTATCTGAGGTAGACCAGAAATAAAAATACTATCACACGTGGAAAGGTGAACGGTAGAATTCCTTCCCGTCTCCTGGCGCGGGGAGGTCGGTCAGGCTTTGGAGTCCTCCTGCAGGCAGAGCTGCGAGACGGTCTTCTTGACGCGCAGGGCGGTGAGACGGGCAGCGCCGCTGCCGTGCCAGCACTCCCGCATCACCCGGCCCATCACCCGCAGCGCCTGCACACACAGACACACAACCCACGGGGGTCAGCCTCTCCTGCTCCTCACCCTGCACAGGCCCAGCCCCAGAGTCACCCCCTGTGCCCCAGGGGATCATCCAAACCCTCCTTGAGCTCTGGCAGCCTTGGTGCTGTGCCCACTGCTCTGGGGAGCCTGGTCAGTGCCAACCACCCTCTGGGGGAAGAACCTTTGCCTGAGATCCAACCTGAGCCTGCCCTGGCACAGCTCCAGCCATTCCCTCGGTGCTGTTCCTGATCTCCACAGAGCAGAGCTCAGTGCCTGCCCCTCCTCTGCCCCTCCCAAGGAGCAAACAATAGGTCAGGAGTACAACCAGCACCTCCCGCTCTTTGTTTCGCAAGTGCAACACAGGAAAATAAAGTGCAGCTCTCTGAAACAGTGACACAACAGCAGCAGCGTTAGTGAAGATCCACGTTTAAGAGAGTTGAGCACTTGGTACAAAGAGCTGACCTGAGAGCTGAAGGAGAGCTACACATCTGAAACATCTAAATTCAGGAGAGCTACACATCTGAAACATCTCAATTCAGGAGAGCTACACATCTGAAACATCTAAATTCAGGAGAACTACACATCTGAAACATCTCAATTCAGGAGAGGCTGGGCACCCTGTCTCTCACTCAAAAATTCTGCTTTAATTTAAATTTGAAAATATAAATGATAAAATAAAACTAGAAAAAATAAACTAGAAACTAAACTAAACTAATAATAATAAATAAACTAACTAAGTTAAACTAAATAAACTAAAATAAACCAGAGAACTGGTTTTACCTCACAGCTTTGCCACTGGTTTGGAATATTCGGTCTGAGTTTCTGCTCACAGACAACCCTTCTCATGTCTTCTATTGAAGGATCAGAAGGCACAACATCGTAGTAAGGCAACTGGTATTCCTCAGTGATTCCTAGGGAACATTTATTGTGGAGGTAATACAACATACAAAGTACCTGCTCCACAACAAACTCTAATTGTTTCTACAAGCAATGAGAGAGAACAGAAGAACTTTCAGGGCCACCTTGGACAACGACTCCATGACATCTTCTGTCCTCACTTAGTGCCGCAGTAACTGGGAGTGCTTTGGTTTTACTGAAGATAAAAGTGGTGTGGATCACAAAATGAGCTACAGCCAGCACTGGGGTCCCCAGAACAGGAGGCATGTGGAGCTGTTGGAGCCAGTCCAGAGGAGGCCACGGAGATGCTCCAGGGCTGGAGCTCCTCTGCTCTGGAGCCAGGCTGGGAGAGCTGGGGGAGTTCCCGTGGAGAAGAGAAGGCTCCAGGGAGAGCTGAGAGCCCCTTCCAGGGCCTAAAGGGGCTCCAGGAGAGCTGGAGAGGGACTGGGGACAAGGGATGGAGGGACAGGACAAGGGAGAATGTGTTCAAACTGGTTTAGATGGGATATTGGGAAGGAATTCTTGGCTGAGAGGGTGGGGAGGCCCTGGCACAGGGTGCCCAGAGAAGCTGTGGCTGCCCCTGGATCCCTGGAAGTGTCCAAGGCCAGGTTGGATGGGGCTTGGAGCAACCTGGGCTAGTGGAAGGTGTCCCTGCCCATGGCAGGGGGTGGAACAAGATGAGCTTTAAGGTCCCTTCCAGCCCAAACCACTCTGGGATTCTGTGATGGTATGAAAAGGCACCTCACCTCCAACGCAGCACCTCCGGGCTATCTCCCAGTACACCAGGCCCAGGGAGTAAATGTCTGCTCGTTTGAAGGACTCAAAGATATTCGTGTTCATTGTGTCGTCCAGGATCTCGGGAGCCATGTACCTTTGGAGCACACAGGGGCAGTTTAGCTCCTGCAGAAGGCCACGGTTGCCCTGCCATGTGCCAGGGCCAGGTGACCCTTCATGGCACTGGAGCCATGCCCTGACCAGGCCCAGAGCATATGGAGTGACCAACACACGATGTCTGTGCCAGAGCCACATCCCACATGGGACAGGGAGCTCCATTCCATGGGAACAGCAACCACCTTCCCCTCCCACCCAGCCGGGGTGGAGGGACAGGGTCTGCAGGACCCCCGGCCGATGGCAAGAGTGGAGGGGACATCAGTGATGGAGGGGAGGGCTGGGAGGAGCCATCCCCACAGAGTGAGCCCGTCTGGTGGCTGGCAGTGCCTGACCCACCTCCTGGTGCCCACGCGGGGGTTCTGGGGGATGTCGATGGTGTTGAGCACCGAGTCGTGCTTCACCGCCAGGCCCAGGTCGGCGATGGCACAGGTCTCGTTCCTCTTCACCAGGATGTTCTTGGACTTCAGATCTCGGTGAGCGATCGCTGGCTTCCCTGTTCACAGTGAGAGAAACAACCTCCAATTTTGATAAGAACAGTGTGGATTTTAATATGATGAGCAAGGATGTAAAACCAGTTTTATTCAATTTTGCTACTATCCCCTGTAGAAAAACTGAAGCCTGTTTTGAGCAAGCAAAGCTCTGCTGAATGCCGTCAACTTCAAAACAAAACTTTGATGGCATTTTTGTTTCAATATCTGTATTTCAAGAATAAAACATGAGAAAAGAAACTGGAAGTTCACCCTTCAAATTAATTTAGAAAATTACAGAATCATCAAATGGCTTGGCTTGGAAAAACCCTCCAAGATGATTGAGGCCAACTGTTCCCATGGCACTGCCAAAGCCACCACTAACCCATGTCCCCAAGTGCCACACCTACACAGCTTTTAAATCCCTCCAGGGATGGTGACCCCACCACTGCCCTGGGCAGCTGTGCCAGAGCTGGACAGCCCTTTTGGGGAAGAAGTTTTTCCTAATTTTTCCTTCATTAGCACTCACTCGTCTTTAGCACAGCTGCTCCCACAGCTATCCACTTAAAGCCACAGATGAAGTGCAGACAGTAGAAGTGGGAAGGTGACATCCCTGTTCCCCTGCAGCGCTCACACACTGTTTGGTGTTAAAAGTTTGGAAAATGCTTCACGATTCCGCATCACCCATAAATGTTTTTGCAAACAACACCGGAGCACCTTACAATGCTCAAAGGACAAGCGGGAGGGAAGCACTTGCCTTGCGTGCCAACGATCTCCATGTGGAGGTGGGCCAGGCCACTGGCCACGGACAGTGCCAGCCTGACCATGCCCTCCACCGTCACCGTGCCTCTGTTCAGGTAGTCGAACAGGGAGCCCTGCTCGTGGTACTCGGAGACAAGCCAGAGCTGAGTCCACGTCCCGTTATCTACCCAGAGGAAGCAAGGTTATTAAAAACAGTGTCTGGGGAAAGCCTTCCCATTTTGCATGGAATGCAAACAAGCAGGTGTGCCAGTCATCCCACCGGGAAGGAGCTCAGGACAGCGCGCAGCTCGAGGTGGTGCTGCAGATGGGGGGGCAGCGAAAGCTATTCTGAGACAGACACTCGGGATTTAGCATCAGTTGGGCTGGAAAGGTCTCTAAGACTGTTGAGTCCAACCACTAACCCAGCACTGCCAAGGCCACCACAGAGAACCCCAGAACTATGAGGGCTGGAAAAGCCCTGCAAGAGGACGGAGCCCCCGCTGCCGCGCCCGCCCCGTACCCTTGTTGTCGGCAGCGATGAAGCCCAGGATGTTCTCATGCCTCAGCATGACCGTCTGGTAAATCTCTGCCTCCCGAAACCAGGACCGCTCGTCTCTGGAGGAGAAGATTTTCACAGCCACATCCTCCCCGCACCACTTCCCACGCCAGACTTCGCCAAACCGGCCTTTTCCTACGATCTCCTGCAGGACAATCGTCCTGGCGATGGTTCTCTGGACAAGCAGGGGCAAACCTAGTTAAAAGGAGAGACAGGTACTTGGGAAACAGCTCAACTGTGATCTTCAAATCCCAACGTTGCCCTTTCCCAGTGAGCTGCACTCATGGCTTTGTTTTCCAAGACTGCTAGGGGAAAATCCTCTCCCCACTAATAACTCAGCCTTTTAGACGTTACTTTTCAGTGTCTGTATATTTAAAAAACATTAAAAAGCCCCAATAAAAATTAAAAAATAGGCCTGAACTATTCCACTTGGTTTGATAGGAATTGCAGCTGTCCTACAGTCAATTAGCTGCTTCCCTCTGACTGATATTTTCAAAAATAAAGATAAATTATCATAGTAGCTCCACTGTCTTTTGCCAGCCACAACCTCTACCTTGTTTGGTTTGATTCTGTGTTTTCTGGGGACTTAAAATAATTATTACTTTTTATATTTTTTTTAAGTCAAGATGGCCTTGATTTTGGCTGAAATCAGATCAAATTGCACCACTGCTCGGGGCTCTGGATCAGCACAAGTCCAGCCCTGTTCCTGGCTCAGGGGTGGCTGGGAAGAGTTAAAACTTCAGGGTAAATAAAGCCAAAGTCTGCTCATTATAGCTGTGAAAAAGTGTTAGGGAAGAACAACAACTTAATCCTCAGAGGTATGCAGCTCATGGAAGTAAAGTCAACTAAATTAGGCACCATTCCTACATTTTTCACTTATAAATAAAAGCAAGTACAATCTACATAATTTTCAATAAAAGCTGTAGTTAGGGAAAGCTGGGCTGTACACCCCAGATGTGTCACTGGTCAGATGAGTTGGAATATATTAATTCCACCTCATTTTTGTGTTTCTTTGGTTTAAAAACTTCTCCATTGTGATGGAGGTATCACAGTAGACTGGGTATCAGAAACAGGAAAAATGCTAGAAAGGTGGACATTCTGCTCAGCAAAAGAATTTTGGGTAAAGTTATTTTGCAATAAAACACTAAAAATTTCAGAAGCAGCATCCTGACTCAGGTGAGTTTAGTACCTTTCCTTATCAGCCAGCAGCACTGGGTGTCACACTTGAATCTGATTTCCGAGCTCGCTCTTTTAACTCTTCCATTCCAACATAGAGCAGAACTTTTGCAGTTTGACAGAAGAGGAGCACACGAAGCCCTGTCACTGCTGTCAGGGGTGGCCACGTGCATCGGCCCAAAGCCCCTCGGCGTGCAGGGCACCCCACGTACCAGAGCCAGAGCCGGAGGTGGTCATGTCATAGATGAGATCCCTCAGCGTCTTCCCGGAGCTCACCAGGTTGCCCTCGGACAGGGGCTCCTCCACGTTGGGTGGTTTGTGGCCGCGGCGGGCGCGGCGTTGGCGGCCCCGGGAGGTGCACACGGCCAGCACTGCCACCAGCACCAGCACACACACCGGCACTGCCACCGTCACCGCCAGCACCACGGGCCTGGGGCCGGCCCTGCCCGGGGAATCCGACGCTGTGGGAACACAAGAGCGGGGTTGGAGCAACACGGCAGGGAGGGGCTGCGGGGGGACGGCGTGGCAGGGTCAGAGATTGCCCGCAGTTGTCCTGGCCATGAGACACATCCCATTCCTGTAAGGCATGGAGTCTTTCCCCACACACCTTCTGTGCAGGAAGCTTGGCCTCTTGATCACCACCCAACACCACCGCCTCAGATCATCCCATCCCATCCCATCCCATCCCATCCCATCCCATCCCATCCCATCCCATC